ATGGTATATCAAAAAGTGTATATTTTTTAAATGTGATTGTTGGTACATTTTACCAGTTTTTACCATACTTTCAAAACAAAAATTAAAATAGGAAAAATATGCAATATGAAAATAATTGAAGACAAAATGTGTTTTACTGAGAAAAAACAAAAGGTACATCTGGAAAATGGGGATCGTCTTATAATCAGGGTCGTCTTATATTCGGGCCAATACGGTATATCAATTTGGGTAAATACCGACAATGTTTTGTTGATGACTGTATTTCAGCTCAGTTATATTGAAGTGTTATTCCACTTTCATATGAGAACACTCAATGTGGTGAGTTACTCAAAACACTTTCATTCACTTGAAACCACCTAAATGTACTTCTGCCTTAAAATAATCCTAGAAAACAACACTTAATTCCTAATGATGAATAATCTCTGTATCAAAACACACATGTACAAGCAAAAGTGTACACACACACACACACACACACACACACCGGTCTAAACTCAGCCTGCAGTCAAGTCATTCAGAATCATAAATTAGCTACACTTGGATAGATAAAAAAAATATTGCTTAGAATCCACCTCAAGCAATTCACCGTTAACCTGTCAAACCAAGCTGCAAATGAAATGTACATATATTAAATAATAAATAAAATACATTAAATATTACATATTATTGATTACTTAGTTACCCTAAACCCTGGTTTGGGGTAATATATCAGGTAACCTCTACATCAATCTCACAAAAAGTACTCTTGATTATGGGGTGAAATATAACCTGAACATTTCTTTGCGGTTTACTTAAGATTCACCAATATTTAAGTCATAGTAGACAAAAATCGCAGTATGTTTTACTTCAAATGCAACTGTTGCTTGTTTACTCCCTCTGCTGGAGAAACTGAGCTATTGCAAAGACCATATTACTCAGGGCTTGTCCAAATACACACACTTGCCGTCTTTGCACTTGACCACTTGTTCACTTACATGAAGTATTTTCCTAGTGTTGCTAAGTGGACCTGAAGACCACAACTTTTCACTTATAGTGTTGTAAAAATGCAAGCGTTTATAGAGGTTTATTTTGATTTTCAATACTTTTCCTTTTAAAATACACTTCTAAATGTCTGTTCAGTAGTCCCTATAACAGACGACACTTTAATAATTGTGGTGCTTCTAATTAAGTGATAAAAAGCAGTAGCAAATGTTGTACAAAATAAATATACTCATCTTTGCACCAATAAAACATGCAACACTTTATGTTTTACTACCTAAATATCTAATTATTATCAACATTAAAATTACACTGGAAAGGTTTCCACAACCTCTCGCGAGATCTTGGCAAAAAAGTCTGGCGGGTTATTTTCAGAACATGATGCATGATGGGATACACTTTTTGAGTCGTGTTTTTAAGTCCTGGGACAGTCTTGTGCACTTACTTTCTGTTGCATGCATGTGCTCCCAAGTGGTCAAGACCGCAAGTGTGAGTATTTGGACAAGCCTCAGAAGGGCATACTTCCATACTGCACAGATGACCTTCTACAACCAGAGCACATTATTAAGTTCTTCTACTCAAAACATACAATTCCTCACTTCAGTGATGAAAATTACACAAACCTGGGCAGTGAAAGTGGTGGGTTGCTCTGCCAGCTCTGTCCGTTGCGATCGTCGGACCCGCTGCTGAGACGTTCACTGGATGGCGCTCGTGTGGCATCCGTCTCCCCTGTTATCGTCAGTGCCGACTCTGAAAGGCTGGGCATCTCTATGTGTGCCAATGGAGCGAAGCTGAGCTCTACGATTTGCCGGGCACTCTGGTAGATCTGACCCTGCACCTGTGGAGTCAGTGTGGGGAAGTCAAAGGTCAGGACAGTTTGAGTGCTAGAGGTCAGAGGGTCGAGACTGTCCAGACTGCTGTAGGAGGTGCCCTTGGCACGGTGTGACTCCATGATGTTCTCAAAATGCCGGCTGAATGTGTCCAAACTGTCTCCGGACCTTCTGCAAGGACCACGGACCAGGATGGGAGATTTTAGAGCTGGATGGTTGTTACTGAAACGATCTTGGGGCCTAGAAAAAGATAGGCTTGTTATTTCTGATATTCTGAACCATAATGAATCATTTAATCGCTGCTTAAAAAAAATTGTGTTTTTGCCACTTCCCACCTCTTTAGCATCATGCTGTAAAACTCCTCTTCTTCATCTCGCTCCTGATCGGCCAACAGCCTCCTCACATCGCCCTGCATCCTGACAGTGACCCAGCTCGCAACATCCTCCTCTTCCTCCTCCTCCTCCTCCTCCTGTCCATCTGTTCTTTCATTCGACATCTCTCCTAGCGGGCTGCTCCCAGCACAGGAAGTTCCCATGACACTTCGGTTACTTCCAAACGCTGAGTCAGCGTCCTCTTGCTCTGCTAACAGCACCTCGTCTATGTCTGTCTCCCGATAACATCGTAACGGAACGGCGTCCAGATCGGTCTCTGAGTATTTCAAAGTTCGCCGAATTATGCCTGTTTTGGGGGAGGTGCCTGGGGCGGCGGGGGGTGGAGTCACTAGCTCCACCTCCACGTGTTGGACGTCATGATTCGCTCTGAGAGCAAGCTCCTCCAATGGCAGATAAGAGGGTGGTATTGGGGTGGAGTGGCCACTTGGTGGAGCTGTGGAGGATTCTGGAACATCTAGTTGGATAACAAACAATATTTATTCAGCTATGAAGTGAACTACCGTATTGACACGAATATAAGACGATGTTTTTTTTCTTGGAAATACATCTGAAAAAACAGGGTTGTCTTATATTCAGGGTCTAGACTTTGACATGTCAATAATACACCCACAACAATAGGTGGCGCCAAATACGCATAAAACGAGTGTGCCATGAAATACGTAATGTAATGCGTGTTGTAAAGATTGCAAATAAAAACAAAAGAAGAAGAAAACCTTACAGCTGCGTGAGTCGTGACGGTCACGTTAGCCTGATGGGACCAAACTCCCTTTGTGATTTTAAAACGTAAGACAGTACCCAGATTTGAAGACTACAGTAAGATTTAACTTCTACTGTTAATAAGATTTTGGTAGGCTACTATTAGATGTATAGCCTAAATGTCCTAATTCAGATGGGATTCCCGTTTTTTTTTTTTATGGTATATCAAAAAGTGTATATTTTTTTAAATGTGATTGTTGGTACATTTTACCAGTTTTTACCATACTTTCAAAACAAAAATTAAAATAGGAAAAATATGCAATATGAAAATAATTGAAGACAAAATGTGTTTTACTGAGAAAAAACAAAAGGTACATCTGGAAAATGGGGATCGTCTTATAATCAGGGTCGTCTTATATTCGGGCCAATACGGTATATCAATTTGGGTAAATACCGACAATGTTTTGTTGATGACTGTATTTCAGCTCAGTTATATTGAAGTGTTATTCCACTTTCATATGAGAACACTCAATGTGGTGAGTTACTCAAAACACTTTCATTCACTTGAAACCACCTAAATGTACTTCTGCCTTAAAATAATCCTAGAAAACAACACTTAATTCCTAATGATGAATCTAAGTGATCACTGAAACTGATATTAAAGAGGTCAACAGGCTACTTACTCTTCTCTTGTTTGCTGGCAGTGTTTTCTGCTGGAGTGCCAAACAGAAACTCCCACTTGGCACGAGCAATTTTCTGACAGTGCAGAGATGGACCTGGCACTAAAGAACCGCCATCAGACTGCAACACCCACACAATATAAACACATTAGCTTATAATAAACAGTGAACTCAATGTACTAGCAAATAACGGGCCTCATTCATTAGAAAGAACACTGTAATGGACATTGTTTGAATTCAATCATTAAATGTAAGAATGCTTTCATGAACAGGGTCTTACCTGTATTCCTGATGATGGGTGATCCGATTGGTTGCTGTTCTGGCTGGACTCAGGCCTGCAGGAGAATTACAGGCCATCTCAGCTAATTCACTGAATACCATCTGTGCCGTTGTGGCCATTTAAACAGACACCTTCAAACCTTTATCACCAGCTCGCTTACTCTGTTCATTATAACCTTCCTCATTAAAGGCCTCGCTAAATATCACAGTCTGCTGCACTATTTTATTGTCCAAAATTCCTTGTGCAGTCTATTCGAAAAATATAAAAGGAAAATGCATGTTGACAGGTTTCGTGAGATTCACATTTATGAGTTTTAATTGCACCTGAGAATGAGTTTGAGTTCACCATAACAACAGAACCACCTGTAATACAAACATGCTATATAACAGAGGACAGAATGAGACGCTTCAAGAGCCATAATGGCCCCACTCGGGTATCTGTTCTGCATGTTTACAGGCAGAATCACAGTCTCATTAAACATCAGCTATTTAAATCGTCTTTTTGCAGTTTAATATTCACAGACACAGTCTATATATATATATATATATATATATATACTGACCTGTTTTTTATTTATTCATGAAAAATAAGACAAATAACATGAAATTCCTCGTTATACAGTAAATTCTGTTTTTATGACTGGATTCTGCGATTCCGTTCATGTTTTCTGCATCGCGAAAATCATAGGGCCCTACTAATGTAGCATATGAATATGATAAGCTCATTGTGAGAGTAAAAGATGGGGACATTGTTGTTTATTTACTTAGCATTGAGTCTCTCCAACTAGGTGACAACGTAGTGTTAAATCACTATTCAACAGACTCAAACCACCACCGCACTGCCATCATAAATAGAACGAGGCATCAGTTCACTGCATCCAGTGTAGACAACATACACCGGGATGTGATGTGACCGATGTGATAAGCATGAGTTCTGGGCCGCGGTGCGGCCGGTATAAACAGCCGGTTATATATATAAAAAAAGACAGCTCCGGTGGCCATAACACAGGCTTTAATGCGCCACAGACGCGTGCCGTGATGCGCAGATCACCTCTAGTCTCTAACGTCACTGAATCTGCTGTTAAAAATGAGCCATCCATTCATCATATCATCATGCAAAACTAAGAACTAGAATCATTGTAATGTGACGATCAAATATAGGTGCGGGTGGGTGGCGGGCGGATAATTTGAAGCAGCGGACTTGGGTGAAGTTTGAGCTTATCCACGCATCTCTACACTACACTGACCTGGGTCGCCAGTAGCAAACAATGGAGCGTGCTCTGCTGGACAAACTGAGTAATTACACCATTCAGAAGTAGTGGTCGACCGATATATCGCCATGGTCGATTTTTCAAATATCGGCATTGGCCGATAAGTTTTTCTGTTTGGCCGATGTTTTTTAGGTGGGACTTTTATTTTGACGGCGCGTTATTTATTTTACACAATTATTTTTAATCCATTTTCAAATGATTTCAAATTTCTTAAATATAGATTAAAATATATAAAATTATATCGGCTTTATATTGGCCATCGGGATCCCTGCTTTCCAAGATATCAGCATCGGCTGTCAAAAAACCCATATCGGTCGACCACTATTCAGAAGCATTTAATCTCCGTTATATGTTTTGTAAAAAAAAAAATTTCATATCGGCGGCATATTCACCGATACTGATATATCGGCGACAAGCTCATATCGGCTGATAATATTGGCTAAACGATATATCGGTTGGTCTCTAAAACATAACCAATAATCTTTGATTTATTCACAACTTCAAAATTCAAGTTTTAAAGTGTAACAGATAAGTCTCAAAAATCCATAATAGTCAGTAATTTAATCCATAATTTACAGTTGGTTTATTTCCAAATTCAAAAAAATCATTTTTACAAGGTCATTTATATGCAAAAAATTGACAGAATACAATTTTAGAAGATAGGCATTAGTGTAAGAAAATGACAGAATTGCAATTATTCTGTGAACTAGTCTGTTAAAGATTTTGCAATTATGCAAATTACAGAGACAGCTTTATCTTTCTCTCTAATAAGAGAGGAAAACCGCCCATGAGAATGACAACCAGAACAAAAGAGGGCGAACACAACATCAAGACCGCCATAACAGCAACGCTCCTTCTGATCAAACTGATCCGCGTGGATTTAACATCTTTCTAGGGACTGATGCATTCATTTGCCCTGAATTATAAGGACGTCGTTCTGTTGAGCACAGAGAGGCGAAAGCCGTAGCCATAGAGACGGGCCTTGTGTCGAACGGCTTCATCTGAATGAACGCCATTTTCTCTCCCTCTCCCCTTCCCTTCCTGTGTCACTCATTCACTTTCTCACGACACTTCAAATAATTCACACTGGTTCCTGTCCAGAGGCACACCTGTCACTCTGACAGCAAACAAGTTTCTGAAGCAGGCTGCTGAATGTCAAAATGCTTTCTGCGAAAAGAACATGCCTCTACAGGTAATGTGTAGGAGTTTAACTTTATCTAGAAACATCAAGTGGAGATCTAAAACAGTACCATATCTGTATATCGAAAAAGGAAAGTAAACACAATTACATTTATTAATATTAGAATGAACTCCAAAGTTCAACAATATGCAAAATTATTAATATGAAATGCATAAAAAAATCTTGATCTTAAAATTTTAACACATGCAACAAATGCTCACTGTAAAAAACTATCATAATTTTAGCTGTAAAAGACTGTAAAAACACTACGTTCAAAACCTGTTAATTAGTTAATGGTACATTCCCTATATACAGTGAAAACTGTAATAGACATATTGGGACATTTTACAGTAAAATAAAAGTTACAGTTAAAGTTTACAGTTTTTGGAAGTGAAAAAGAACTTGATGTACTATAATAAAACTGTAATAAATTTAAAACTAAAACTTAATTAAAAAAATTAATAAAACTATATAGACATAATATAGCATATATAAATAATATATCCTAAAAAATTACAAAAGCACAATACAATTACTAAAAATAACTAAAATTAAAACGAAAACAGAAAATATAAAAATAAAAACTGATTCAATTTATTAATAAAAACTATAATAGTACTGAAATTATACTAAAATAACACTGGATGATATATATGTCAAATTTTGTTACTGCATTTCTTACAGTACATTTCTGGCAACCACAGCTGCCAACTGTAAATTTCATTTTTTTTTATTTTTTTTATCAGTGCAGCAAAGCTGAATAGAAATGGTGACAGATGCTGAATTATAAACATTCCCTTAAACTGACATATACTTTAGTTTAAAGTCTCATTATTAAGTAAATAAACACAAATAGGGTCATAATAACACATCAACAACCCCTGCTCTAGAGAAGGGCAAAGTGTGCGTGGGATGATTGAGCCCTCATATCATAAATGTGCTGTGACTTGTCCTCATTCCTGAAATGTATTCAGAAAAGGTTGATCAACAGCAGCTGTCATACTCTCCATGAACACAGAGATGCCAAAAACACAAGTCCACAAAACTACAGAGAAATTATGTTTACACAGCACAAACACCTCCCACACCTGCTGAAATTCTATTTATAAAACTACTACTTTTATGTTTTCTGAACAAAAGCACAATATGGTGCGGGATGAGTTTCACACAGAAGTTAAAAAACTTTTAGGGACATTTCAACTCTCAACCATAGGAATGAGCAATAGAATATTAATATTAAAACAACAGCGATAATAATAATAATAATAAATGAATAATATAAGAATCAACAACTCTTCTACCAAACAAATAATATATATATATTATTGTATATATAATATACAATAAATAGTTAATTAACATTACTGTAAGCCAGTTATCATCAATCAATCAAATGATTATACGCATGTTTAGAGGTTTGCATTGTCATTTTACAACGCCTTTGAAAGTGGCTCATGCAATCAGAATTTGGATCGATCTTTTCTGTTTTATAAGCTACAATGAATCATTTCATTGCCACTTTCACCACTACTTCTGTGCTGTCAAAAAGACATACGAGTCAGGCGACAGAGGTGACTTTCATTCTTCCATATTATACCTCTGCTAATCATTATAATAAAACCAAAGATCAGAAACCTTGTCTGTCTGTCTGAAATGATCTGTGACCTAACATTACGTTTACAAGCATGTAAATTGCTTTTCAAACATGCGACATGACTTGAGGAATCATTCATGTCTGTAATGCAATAATATGTGACATTACATGCCAAAGTTTAGTACATAAGTGTCAGGAGTTTGTTTCAAATCCCTCACGCTAAGCATGAGTGATAGTAATAGCGAAGTAATAGTGTTCGCCTTAGCAAACACCACCGAAAGAGCCAAAAATAGCATGTGCTGATGTGGTCCAATGTGTCTTATTAGCTCTCTCTCTCTCTCACACACACACACACACACACACACACACACACACACACACACACACACACACACAGAGAGAGAGAGAGAGAGAGA